TCACGAAAAAAGACAAAAAGGAAAAAAAAAAAAAAAAGAAAACGAAAAAGGATAAAATGTTCAAAAATACAAAAATGTAAGAAAGGACTGGTGTCCAAAATAATAAAAATTCCTGCAAATTAATCTTAAAAACAACTCAACAAAAAATGGTCAAAATATTTGGATACTAATCTTTGGTAAACACTTTATTAATTAATTACAGCCATTTTAAAATCGTTTTTCCCATTCCAAGGGAAGAGGGACTCACGTGCTTTTCTGCCATGCTGGGACACTGGTTAGTCTGACACTTCCCACTGCACGACACTGCCCAAGCATGCTCTGTGCTCTCGGAGGTAAAAGTACATACAGTTCAGTAGTTAAGGTCTCAGGCTCTGTAACCATCATTCCACATATTTCCCATGTGGTATTGAGTAAGTCCTTTATTGCTCTGAAACTTGATTTCCCCATAAGACTAACAGTAAAATCTCCTTTATAAGGCTGCCGTGAGAGTTAAATGAGTTAAGGGTTCATTTATACGAAGCTCTTAGCATACAGCATAGCACACAGTAGGTGCCCCATAGATGTTAGCCCTTATTATTATCAGAACCATCATAATTATTACTGTAAGAGACTTGGAAAGCCATGGAGGGAAGGCCATTAAGTATTGCGACCAATGATTACTGGCTTAACAGTAGATTAGACACAGTGGAATAGAAAACACTGCAGTGGTAGCTGCTTGTGCCTGGGGTGGCGGTGGTGCTGTGACTTGCCATGCTGAGAAAGGATCCAAGCCCCCACCTGAGACTCCAGAACAGCACAGGTTGCTCTCAGGCATCCTCGGTGAAGGCTTTCTAAGGAGATAATGAAAATCTGTTAAATTCTCCACTAAACTAGAAAAACCTGATTTAAGGATACTCGGGGAGCTCTGAGTACAAAACGGTCTCCTGCTGAGTTTAATCGAGCCATTTCCAGCCACTCTACGTCTGGCTTATTTCTTAAATCTGCGCTTTATTCTCCAATCCTACTAAAACTGCCCTTTTTCAGGCCTCTATCATCTCCTATTTGAACTATTAAAAGGTCTGTTAACTGGTCTCTTCTTTCTGTGCTTGACGTGCCTCAGAACGACCTTTTTAAATAGAGAATGGTTCACTTTCTACGTTACCATCCCTTTATGGAAGAAATTTGGCCATAGGTATTGAAACAATGAAAATGTCCTCCTAAGAATCTATCTTTAAAAATATTCAAAATTCAGCTAAAGGTTTATGCACAGAGATGATCTTTATACTACTACTCGTGACAGAAGAAAACAGAAAAAACAGGAGGTGGATTGTTGGTCATCCACCCTAATGCAATCATTTTAAAAGAGGTATTCAAGCATTGTAAGAAAATAATCTAAGCGATTCATTTTCAGAAATAATTCAGGCCCAGCCCAAAAGTTGTCTGACTGGTCCAGCCCATTCCTGGGGGGTCACTGAATAGATGAAGTTGTCCTTCAGGTGGTAATGAGCTACTAGCCCTTCATTGAGCCCTTTATTGCCCTCTTCATTCCCTAGCTATCCCCTTAAGATGGTAATGAGTTACCACTCTTTAATGTTTCGCCTTTCACAGGGTTTCGGTGGACATTTTTTGCGGGCTTGTCCTGAGCCCTCAGACAAAGAAATTTTCTACAAGGGGGTAGTAAATTGGGGTACTTTTAGACATCATCTGGGAAGATTGTGAACCCCGTAGTACTCTCAGCCAATGAGGAGGTGGGGACAGGGACCTGCGAACTAGGAAATAAATTGCTTGTTGCAGCCCTTTTCCGTGTGCCTGCCCGTCAGACACCCGAGCCTTGCAAGGCCGTAATTAAAGTCTCGCTTTGCTGTACCTCGTGTCTCCATGTCCATCCTTTGGCCTTGGACAGGTGAGGGTGTTTCTCACAGGCATCAGTGAGCATTTGAAAAATGAATGAATGAGGCCAACGTCATGGCTAGCTTTGTCCTTTCTCTGACAGGACAACAAATATTTTTCAAGTAATGTTTATCTCTCTCTGCTGCAAAAAAAATATGTGCTGATGGTAAAAGTTTTACAGTAGAGGAAAGTATGACCAAGAATAAAAAGACTATTATCCTACTACCTAATGATATCCAGTATTAACATGTTAATATATATCCTTTCAGAATTTAAAAAATCAATGTATGCATGTTTTATAAAACTTAGATTAATTTTACATAAAACTTTGTATCTTGATTTTTCCCACCTAACATTGTATCATTCTTTTCAGTGATATTTAATATTACCTTAACCCTGAGACATAACGTTGGTTGCACAGTATTTTATAAGGTTAATAAATTATATATACAGCTATTTTCAATAATTCTTTAATGAACATTTTATACATAAAACTCGGTCTGTATTTCTGATTTTTTTCTTAGGACAGCATCCTACAGGGAAAATTTCTGGACACAAGTATATGAACATTGTAAAGGTTCATGATACAGATTTCTGCATGCTTTCTATTTGTTGGTATTTTTATTAAATGAATTAGTACATATAACATGCTTAAAACTGTATTTGGCATATAAATATTCAATAGAGCCATAAGAGTTAGCATTTTACTACTTAGCAAGTATGTTGAGTCCTGCTATGTGGAAGGTAGGAAAAACGACCCTCTTTCCAGCAGTGAATGTGGGCGTCAGGCTCTCAGAGTCCTCATCTGCAATGAGCATCGTCATTTTTCTAACTTTGCTAGTTTGATGGGTGAAAAGTGGTATTCCACTGATGCAGTTCGTGCTTACCAATAACAAAAGCAAACAACTTTTTCCGCATGATTATGGCTGAACCACAACATTGAATCCTTTTAATCTCCTCCCCTGTTTTTTAAGTGGCAACGTTTTCTGCATTTGCTACTCCTGGTTCATTAACTTACTTCTCACTGGCACCGTCTTCCCTCCGTGGCTTTTCCTTTGGGGTGATCATTCCTTTTCCCGTAATGTATTTGGTGAAGGCCAGTATGTAGGAAGCGTGGCGCTAGGTCCTGAGGATACAGCAGTAAACTGGACAGTCATGGTCCCTGCCTCATGGAACTTCCTACCTAGCAGAGAACTAAGATGTCGAGCCACGTGCCTTTACTCCTGTGAATCTGGAGCACAGGATGCTTTGGAAGGCTGGCTCACTCTCAACTCTTCGGGGCTCAAGAAAAGGCCTCTTTGAGAAGCTGCAGTTTAAGCCAAGACCCGATGTGTGAACAGGAGTTAATAGCCTAGAGGAGTGGGATGGAGGGTGGGGAGGATTAAGGGTGAAGACAGAAGGAAGAGCGTATGTGTAAGTGCTGATGTGGCAAAGACATTCCAGGCAATGACAGAAATCCAGTTTACGTGGCATGTGACGAGGAGGAACAGAGTGACCCAAGATGAGTCTGTGAAGGTCAGTGGTACCAGATGGCCCCTGGCCTCAAGCCATCCCATCTTGTCTCCAGTCTGCTGATCTGAAACTTGTTCCTCCGCCTGGGCCAGGAGTCCTCCAGCGTCAGTGCCTTCCCTTCTCTCCAGCTCACTGAACACCACATGGGTGGGTTCCAGAGGGGGGTGAACCTTTCTCATGACTCAGCCACAGGTCATCCCAAAGCCCATTCCCTTTGTCTCAGTAATGGCTCAGACACCCCCTCTTTTGTTAAACACTGAGACCCTAGAAAAAAAGGGAACCAAAGGACTGATGTGCCTGGAAGACATTTCCTAGTACCTGGTTCTGTCAGCCAAACCGTGGGCTGTCCCCCAAGGACCTGTGTAGAATTGAGATGAGGATCATGTAAATGAGTGTTTAAGGCAGTGACTGTGTCATGAACGTAGCTTCTGTTTGCCGCAGCTATCCTTCCAGGGACTCTCATTCTGGGTCCCTGCCCCAGCCTGTCACCTTGACGAAAGCCCTCTTCACGTCCTTGTTCCGGAGGCTGTAGATGATGGGGTTGAGGAATGCAGAGATGACGTTGTAGAACAGGGCCAGCTTCTTGTCCTCTTCCGGGGAGGCCTTAGAGCCAGGCTTCATGTACATGACCATGGCTGGCACACAGAACATGGTGACCACAGCGATATGGGAGGCACAGGTGGAGAAGGCCTTCAGCTGCCCCTGTGCTGAATGGATCTTCATGATGGCAATGAAGATGTTGACATAAATGACAAAGATGAGAGACAGTGGGATCAGGATAACACAAAAACCAAGAATGAAGTCCACCAGGTCATTGACTGAAGTGTCTGCACAAGCCAGCTTTAAGACAGCCGGGACTTCACAGAAAAAGTGGTTGATCTTGTTGGGGCCACAGTAGGGAAGACGTATGGCAAAGACAGTGTAGACGAGAGCAGAGGTGACACCCCACAGACCACAGAAAATGACCATTACCCCACAGAGCCACGGGCTCATGATGACCTTGTACCTGAGTGGGTGGCAGATGGCCACATACCTGTCTATAGACATGATGGCAAAGAGCCAGGACTCAGTGATGCCTAGCACCAAGAAAATGTACATTTGGGCCACACAGCTGGCAAACAAGATGGTCCTCTTCTGGCTGGCCAGATGTGCCAACATCTGGGGCACAGTTGTAGTGGTGTAGCCCAGGTCCAACATGGAAAGGACGCCAATAAAGAAGTACATGGGAGTGTGGAGGTGTGAGTCTAGGCAGATGAGGATGGTGATGAATCCATTGCTCAGAATAATCAACAGGTAGATCATCAGAAAGCCTGCGAAGAGCAGAGGAGTGTTCCTGGGGCCAAGGGAGAAGCCCAGAAGGATGAATTCAGTCACAGAGGACTGGTTGGGCTCTTGCATTGTGTTCCACCTCTCAGTGAAAAAGAAAGGCACCAATTCAGACAGGGACTAGCTAAGGAATGCACTAGAGCTGGGGTTACTGATGGGGTTGGGTAGTGGTTAGTGTCCAGTTACGATGAAACACCATGATGCCCCCCCCCCAATACTAAGACAACCCATTTTGCCTGCTCTTGTCCCCTGCCAACACTCCCAGGAAATTTATGAGGAGAAAAGCTTCACATCTAGTACTGGCTCTTCCTCTAAACCACCCATAACTCCCCATCCCAGCCTCAGTTTCCTCAGCTGTAAAATGAAAACACTGGGCTAGCTGGTCTCTAATTTCCTTTAGCATCCTCCTTCCCTTAGTCAGGCATTTGAGTTTCCTTCATGCAGCCGTGTGTCAAATATTGGTAAATATTGGTGTATAGACTTTATGCATGTTGGCAAATTTCAGAGGCCTAAGACAGTGAAAGAACCTACTTGGCCCTTTTGAAGACACCAATTTATTTTTCTACTTTAATTTTACCCTCAGTCTGTCCACAGGCCAGGACAGCTCTCTGATGACCCACTCACCCCACCTCAGGCCTCAGTGTATTGGAAGGAACACTGACTTCCGAATCCTGGCTGTGTCATTTCCTGAGTGAATGACCTTCAGCAAACCATTTACCCTCTCCCCACCCTCTGCCCCTTGTCTCTTTGTTACAGCTTTGCTACAAGGATTGAATCACATCTTTGGTGTGAAAATCATCACACAGAAGGCCTAACACATGGTAGATGCTCAATAAATGTCAACTGCATTTCTGTGTGGTTCTCCGTACACGAGACTGGAATTCTGGTCCCAGCTGTACAGGCAAACACCCCAAGCAGTCACTCCATCATACTTGATGCCTCCAATCAATTTTCACTCCCCCCATTGTCTACCCTCTGTTCCTTCTCCCACAAAAGCCAGCACCGCGTTCACTCTTTTAGCATCTCACTGACTCTTAGCTCGGTCTCAGCTTAACCTCCCTGAGCCTCAGTTTCTTCATGGGAGCAGGCAAAGGACGACTTCTCTGAAGACATGTCCCATGCATCATGGATACTTAGGGAATGAGCAGTCTTGATGCTGCCAGTGTTACTTCTCCTTGCACCAGCTTATCTATCTGACTCCAGCCTACTTTTTCTCCAGTCTGTGTGTTCTCCTACAAAGCACCACAGGTGAGTCTTCACACGAACCTACGTCTACCTACTCCCAATACATTACACGGCTTCTGGACTTTGGCCAAGAGGACTACACACAGTTTGAACCTCCTCTGGTGCCTTTGCAGGAACTTCACAGATATTATCTGATAGCTGTCAGGTAGTTGGCAGACAACTGTTCTTATTAAATCCCTACCTTTCACCAAAGAGCCTTTGTAGGTTGCATTGTCTCCCCAGCTTGTCCTCAGTTTCTTCTTCTGTACAAAAGATAATGGTGCTTGGGCCAGGTGGTCTTGAAGGGAGAGAAACCACATGGTGGGGTGGGAAGGGCATGGGGTTTACAGATGTGGGTTCTGCTTGAATCCCACCTCTGACTTTACTTCCTATGTGACTTGGGCTGTTAGCTCGCTTCTCTAGGCCTCAGTTTCCTCAGCTGTAAAACAGGAATGAAAATACCTACTTTGCAAGCCACATTCTTCCTATGAAGAAGCAGCCCAAAGAGGTCAGAATGTTCTACCTTGGGGCCTTGAGTGGGAAAACGTGCTGCGGTTTCTCTCTTTTCATTTTCTACACAGAGCCGATGAACGGGATTTTTCTTTAGGATCTGATGTTCAAGAGTGTTTAACTTGGTGGAACCATGAGGGCAGGCTGTGGTCAATTGGGGAACGCAGTCTATAAACCAGTGAAGTGTGCCCACAGGTGCTGTTCTGCAACCAGGATCTTTCTAGTCGGAAACTCAGGCTCCCCAGCCCCTGTGTCCCCTCACCCCTCCCTCACTCTCCTGAGGGTGTAAAACAGCCTCTACAAACTACTTGGGAAAAAAACTGCCTGACTCTCAGGCATAGCAAGCAGAAACCCCATGTAAAGGAGAGCAAGAATTAACATCACTCTCTACCACGATGAGCCTGGCCTCTGTGCCACCATTTGGGCCAAATATATAGAATTCAGCTTTTGAGCCGTGCCTTATAAAATACCTTGACATTCATTCTCTCTTTGAGCCTTATGATCACTCTGAGAAGCATAGGGTGGGGATCCCTATCTTCATATCACAGGTGGGGAAACTGAGGCTCAGAGAGGGAATGTGTGGGAGAAACTGGATTGTACTCATTCTTCAGCAGCAATAGGGTTTCCCATGGGCTGCAAAACTGTAGCTACCAGAACTCAACTAATCTGAGCCCTCAGTTTACTGAACTGTTTTCTGTTCTTGATTCTCAGGGGAAAAAGGCAAATTATGAGGGTAAAGAATCTTGTGTTGGTTTCGTTTAATTACATGTATATATGCATGTAAATGTGCATATACACACGCACGCACGTACACGCATACAGTAATCAATGGCACCTGTAAGATCAATTCAGTCAGGCTGGTCAGAAACTTGGAAAAACCCCCTCAGCTCCTGCCTCATCTCCCTAAATTCTATTTGTCCCCAGGTTCCACCTTCAAAATGGCTCTCCCACCCATCCATCCCACTCCAATCCCACTGCCAGTGTCCAGCTCAGAGACTTGACATCTCTCTCTCACCTTGTCTCATCTTAGTCCTCCCACCAGCAGACCCCCACCCAGCCTATCCTCTGCACTGGCCTTCAGAGTGCTCTTTCTAAAACAAAAATTTGACTGGGCCACTCCTTCATGGCTCCCTTGTCTACAGGTAAAAAGACTAAGGGAGTTAGACTTGTACCCTGGCTTCACTTTGTAAAGCCAGACTCAGTTGTGGTCCCAGGCTCCAAGGCAGGTTGGCGGGCTCAAAGCTTTAGAGAACTCTTCCACTGCTGCAAGGGCTGGCACAAGAAGCAGCCCAACAGCTCAGGAGGCCACCTCCAGAGAGGAGACTCAGAGACTGACCTATGGTAGGAAGGAGAGGTATTCCAGGTCACAGAGGGAGTTTGTGGCAGAGTTGAGATGAGGACCCAGAGCTCCTGGCTATCAGTGAGTCAGCTCCTGGAGCTGTCCTAGCTCAAGGCAAGCCCACGCTAACCTGGAAAGTCTGCAGGTCAGACACATCCCCACTCAGCAGCTTGGCTCCTCTGTCCGTGACTTTGCTGTTTCTCACTGTAACCTCCTGACTCAACACAGAGCATGGTGCATGGTAAAGCCCTGTAAATGTTCACTGAGTGACCTACACACCAGGAGACGCCAGAACAAGAGAGAAAGAAATGGTTAAATTCTCTTTCTCCCTACACTTTTCCCTCCTGTTCCCAGAGGTCAGGAAAAAATTACCTGTGTTGGGGGGTCATGAGCCCTTCAGGAGAAACCAGGCATAAGTCATTTGGGGGGAGGGTTGGGAGAATTGGCACTAAATGTAATGAATATTTCTAACATTTCCCTGTCCCAGATAATAATAATAATTCTAATAGATCAGCTTACTACGTGCTGGGCACTATGACATGTGCTTTACATTTGTCGTTTTACTTTCTCTCCATAACTGGGGTGATAATATGGGCAGTCTCCAGGCACAGCAGGCAGCTGCTGCAGGAGAAGCAGGGCTGCACCAGCCTGCCTGCAAAACATGAGCCCAGCACGTAGCCACCCTGTGAGGTGGGCGCTGATACTACACACATTTCATAGACAAGGAGCAGATGACATGCCTTGCCCAGGGCCACAGCTGTAGCTGATGCGGATCCTGTACCCATGCCCCGCTGAGCATCCAGGGCAAGGATGTGGTTGGATGACCCGCTTAAAAACAAGTCCTCTCTCCCATCACCCCCTGCACAGCTTACTCACTCGTCCTCTGCCTCCAGGGTAGAAGCTGAATGAGAGGGGGCAGGTGGGGCAGAAATTGTGGCTAAAAAACAGGACGAATGAAGCTCTGGCAGGCAGCTGGGAAAGCCAAGCAGATACAGGAAGGGGACAATGCCAGCCTCATTCCCGAGGTTGCTGGTGCCCCCTCTGCACACAGAGAATGGCCGCCTGTGTCCACTCTGTCCCACTGCCCTCCATACCAGGGTCTCCTTCCCAGCAAGCTGCATGAGGGGAACAGGCATTCTGATGGGAGGCCAAAGGCCAGGAAGGAGGTGCTAGAGCTGACCTTGCCCATGCGTCCTTTCCCTGCCCTGTCCAAGCAGCCCTGGGAATCCTCAGTGCCATCTGGGAAGAGGAGAGAGGGCTGGCTCAGGGGCAGAAGGGTAAGCAGGGAGTATCCTTCTCTGAGGGACTGTGGTCTGTGAGCCATGGGACCTGGTGGGATCTGGAGAATCCTGGGAGACACAAGACAGAGTGGGGGAGGTGGGGGTAAATTGGCAGCTCCTCACCTGAGGGCAGCAGGGGTGGGCCAGGGCACAGGCCAGAGATCCAGACTGGGCAGAATAGGGACATAGAGGCAGAGCCAAGAGGAATCAACATACGCAGATGGACAGACAAGGAGACAGAGAACCACAGAGGCAGGAAAGAGCCTCTGTAAACTGGAAAGGGATGAAAACAGAGAGAGAATCTGGGGGTCAGAGAGTAGCCTGGAGCCTGGCCCCAGGGAGCAAGAGTTGGCCCCAGGGCCCCCTGGCGGCTAGGCTGGGGCGCTGCCAACTCACATGCCCATGCTGCGAGAGCACATCTTGCACAGCTGCCTGAAACCTGCAGCCTCCCTGAGCACCACAGCCAGATGCTGCCTCAGGGTAAGAGGTAGCCCCGGCCCATGGCCCCCAACCCTGGTCTTCCTCGCCCAGGCCAGGAGGACAATCCTAGTCCTCCACAGAGCCTGTGTGTCTGGGGAGGGGCTGCATCCAGGATGGCTGGGCCAGGCAGGAGTCCCAGAAGAGCAGGCTCTGGGTTGCAGTATCTTCCCTGAGCCCTCAGCGACACCCCACAGATCTACTCTGGACAGCTTCAGAGATTCACCAAACCTTGGGGCTGG